AAAGAAAGAAAGAAAGAAAGAAAGAAAGAAAGGAAGGAAGGAAAGAAAGAAAGAAAGAAGAATTTCAACTAGATGAGAAAATATAAAAAAATTGTTTTACAATAAATGACAAATTTCTCGCGCGCTGATTGGTTATTTTTTATTATTAATAAGAGGACAGACAGATAAAGCTGACGTCAACGAGCGCGCGCTATTTCCGTTAGTTGTCTTGATCAGTAGAAATAAAAGAAGTTTTTGTTATTTTAAAATAACTGTTATGAATGTCGCGTTCAGATTGGCCATGGTTTGGAGCGCGTGCTTTATGAGAGCACATTGCACGCGCGCGCACTTTCCGTTGCGTCATTCCCATCTATTATTATTAGTAGTAGTAGTAAAGTCTTTATTACATGAAATACACATCAAATTTACAAATAAATAATACAGTATAAATAAATATGATATAAAAATAAATAAACTTTATTATTTAAACTTTATCATTGTACTGTAATTTGTATTTTATAAAAGAAATAAAAAACTTGCTTGCTGTGCTGTGTGCAGTCATAAAGCACTGGGGGATTGGCAGAACACTCGAGAAGTGTCCAGAAGCACTCCTCTACGCGTCGTGACTCTCCTAACACTTCTCTCGTGTTCTGCCAACCCCCGCGCGCTTTATGACAGCACACAGCACGCGCGCGCGTTTTCTATTTGTTCAACGGTTCACTGAACTTTGTTCACTTGAAGTTCCGAAGTTCGTTGCCAACTTGGGAACTTCCGAGCTTCCCAACCCGCCGCGGTAAAGTAATGTGAAATGCACTGTAAACTATCGAGGATGTATATCTACACTTTAATTATAAAACAGATAAAAGAGGGGATTCTGCTTTAAAAGAATCATTAAGGGATTTTTGTTGATAATTTCATTTAAAAAATTCTCGTAATATTGTATACACTATGTGTCACTATGGCAACGAGGTCAGTAGCACCCTTATTTGCATACTTAGAAAACACACGATACTATCTAATACTTGCTTAAGTTGAAATCTTGGTTTAAAGATAAGTAAATTATCTATCTTCAGCCAACAAAAATCACCTTCTTCTAGTTAAAAATGTGTGAAAACTATTTTGTATGCAAATAGTATGTAACTGAAAAGACAGAACTTAACATTTTCCTCATATCGAGTGTCGTGTTGGAGCATGAGCGCACATCGTTCAACAACCTCAATGAGAAAACATTGCTTTTTAAACACAATTTTACAGCAGTTTGAAGACCTGTTTTCAGTAGATAACCATGGCAGGGTTTGCTCCGTTCGGTAGAGACGACCAACCTCTTCTTGATGTGAGAATAATTGGAGGAAAACGCGTAGAAATAGCAGTCGATCAATATGGGAGGCCATTAAACAACAACAAGAAATCTAAAGGACAAAATACAGACGCAAGATTTTCACACTCTTTGTCTGAAGGACATAATATTAACTCTCATTCTCCTCGAAATACAGCTGTACCCCCTTGGGTTAGAGGTGAAACTCCCCCGAAAAAAGTCCTTAGACAACTTGAAAGTCCCAATGATAGTACCAGGCAAAGTTCCAGATCAAGCTCTCTTCCTGGATCACCTATAATATTACCACCAATTACCAGGAATCAGCTGGAACATGATGCTCCAAAAGCCGAAGTTATTCATGATGAAAGAGATTCTTTATCTGAAATAATCAGAGCACAGGTACAAGGGATGGATACAAATAACTTAAAGGATGCATACATGGAATTCTGTGGTTTAGATTCAACATTAACAGGGTTTGTAGATGCTGAACAAGTTGAAAAAGCCTTTGCAAGGTGCAGGATTCCCATTAATGGAACACTTCTACAAACACTCAACTCAAGGTTTATGTCTGCGAGACGACCTAACTGGGTTAATTATGAACAACTATTAAAGTTTGTCAATAATATAGTGAAAGGTGAAAAGAAAAGTGATGTTGTACCTAGACTTGATCTGTCTTCCAATCCTGGGGATCTTGCAAGAAGTCGCTTACCACAAAACTCATCTTACGACAGGGATATCCCTCTTAAGCCTAATGAAATATCACCTCGTAGTATAAATGACGGTAGTCTATCAGGCAGACAAAGTGCAATAGTTGTCAATCGTGCATTTCAAGATCGACAGGATGTACATTTGCTGGTGTACATGGAAAAGATGTTGAAACAGGTCGATAGAGTAAGAGATCTTATTTGGAAACTACAAGAAACACTGGAGCAAAATGACCCTCAAAGTAATATTATCAGCTCACAAAAGGTGAGTACATGGCTAAGAGCAACTGAACTACTGTAGAAACTAATAATTATTAATTTTTATGATTTTTCTCAATGTGGAAAAAAGTTCAATGCAAAATCCCAAGCCTTCCCTGTGACAACCTTTCCCCGGGGGGTACTCCCCTATATTCGCTAAACGGGCACGTGCCACCAAACAGGGTATGGTTTTCACCAATTCTACTCTGGAACAAGGTATATAAAATCGCGCTGGCTCTGGAATGATCTCTAATCTCTGGAACAGGGTTTTCAGCGATCTTGCTCTGGAACAGGGTATGAATTTCAGTGAATTTTAATCTGGAACAGGGTCAGGGTTCAGAGGGCACAGCGGCACATCCATACCCTAAACGGGCAAGAGTACCCCCTGGGAACCTTTCCCTCCATTTCAACTCCCTATCCACCCCACCCCTTGAGAATAGAGAATTTCAAGTCACTCAAATTTCTCATCTATTCCCCCTGCTGAAAAATGATTCCCAGTCCCTAAATGCCTCTAAAGATGAGACACATGACCTGATCAATAAAATATATATTAATTAATAATCAATGACTAATAATTGTATTATTTACTTGCAGTTAAAAACCTTTTGTCTGAGACATCATTTACCATTTAATGGCTCTCTACTGGACAAGATCCTGGATAGACTAGACCCCAGAGGAACAGGGAGGGTCAACTGGGAGTCATTCATGGTATTCATTGAGAGAGCACTACCTATAGATGCAATAACAAACCAAGAATCAACTGTGGCAGGATCCAGGGGAAGTATAGTGGAGACGCCACCTCTGCAGCCAACTTGGGAAACCAGGAAACCCCTGGGCGCTGTACCAGAGAGAAGCAGAGTTATTACTGAGACTGCTGTGATGGAGCAAGAAGAGATGTTTGATGAACAGCAAAAAAACCTTGGTGAGAACCAAACAACCAGTCAATCATATGCAAACACTGTCTGTTCTACTCTACCAGTTTGCAATAACCTCCCTCTTCTCTTCCTCAAACTGTCCCCACTTTTCTCTTTCTTTTCCTGTCATCCTTATTTCCCATATTTTCATCCTTTCACTTTTTCTTTCCCAGTTTCCTTTTCCTTCTTTTCATCATCATCTTTACCCCCTCTTTTCCTCCTATCCCTGTCAGCAGCTCCTCTTCCCCTCCTGAAGTTTTTTTGACATGAACTGAAATAAATTCTGTAATGAACATAAACAATATATTTTCACTGGCAATGATGGTATTTTTAGATTTACAGCTTAAGGAACAGAGTCAAGAGCTGGCAGAAATACTCAACAAACAGCAGAGAGATCTTGACAGAAGACAGAAATCCCTTCATATAGATCACATCTCAGAGTATGAACATCTGGGGAGAGACTTAGATGAGGGGTCGGTACGACAAGAGATGAACAGAAATGTACCCCTAAATCAAGAAGAGCTAGAAGAACAACACAGGAACCTTGTAAGGCAACAAATGCACCTGATTGAACAAAAAAGAAAGATCCAAAAGGAGCAGGAAGAGTTGGATAAGGTTTTGCGACATGATGGTGAGCATAAGGCTGCTTATGACGAAGCTGAGAGCCCCATTCAAAGATTTCTACGTCTTGCAAATGCTTTGTTTCTAAGCGATGATGATAACTCAGGTAAACATATATAACAGACAAACTAAGATGATACAATATTCTTTATTTCACAAGGGATACATATAACCCTAAATAAAGCTATCGAACATGTGGCCCTCCTGTTTCCATGGCTACCATTATAGTTATGAGAATGCTTAGCTATGATTGGGTTATTTTGAACCACTGGTGTAAAACGATTTCTAGGTATGATTATCCCCTGGTATAGTATTGATTTTGTAACTGCTCAACCAATCACAGCTCTTGTTATATCTTGCTTGTTTATTTGCAGGTTTCCTTGACATTGACAGCACCAGACGACTGGTCAAGAATTACAACTTGGTGTACCATCTTGATTTTACCTCAGATATCATAGAAGATGCTATCGGCATTTGTAGTACACCAGATAGGATGGTTAGTATAGAACATCTACTGAATGAACTGAAAAGATACATTTAAACATACATGGACTCACCCTACCCCCCTAGGGTTGGTGTGTGCGATTGGATGGTCAGTGATTTCATTAGTGTGGACAATCTATGCACCCTACCCCTCTAGGGTTGGTAGGACTACTGAACAAACAGAGAAGATAAATCTAAATACCGGTATGTTATTATCAGTGCAGTCTGAAGAAAATATTGACATACCCTACCCTCCCATAGTCCAGATGTTGGCCACTCCTTTAACCACTCCCTTTTGTTGAGCAGTGGTCAAAGGAGGGGACAGCATCTGGACTAGCCCTCCCAGAGGAAGCCCCCTTCCCTCCTCCTGTAAAAGGTAAATGGTTACCATATTTTTTCAGTCAGGTAAAGAATGTTGGACTGTTGCCCCAGTTCTCTAATTTTGAAGTCTTTTAGAAGGGGTTTCAAATTAACAACACAGTTATGTGTATTATATTCACACTTATGTGTATTATATTCACTCAAACGTAACAGAGTATATTTTAAATAGATACAGAACAAATATTTCTATGTTATGTCAAAGAAGATGTTCTGGGCCTCCTGTGGTACTAGTAGCATTTAATGAATCACTGGACACCAGAGCCCTGACATTCTTTCGACTCTCAAGGTAATACTCCATTTTAAAGTTCTGTTCGAGTGACCATGAATAATAGTTGCAAGTTGAGGTTGCAGTTTTCGCGCATAGTAAAACTATACTTTTTATCATGCGCAGAAACTCCAGCCTCGGCTTGGAATGGAACTGTAAAATGGTGTATTGGTATGAACACTTGTGATTGATAGTGCAGCTGTTATTCAATCAATTATCACAAAAAATATTCAAACCAACCACAGCTCTTGAATCCAATTCTTGGCATCGTCGAGCATGCGCAACAAGAATAACAGGGGTTGAGAGTGTACATACACTACATAACTTACCCACTAGAGTGACTTTATTTTTGTATGTATATTGTGTAAAAGAGAGAGAATTCTAAACTTTTAAAAATTGATTTTATAAAGAGCGTGTAAATTATAAAGTAGAGAGTAAAAGAAAAAGTTTATTATATGAGAAAAGTTCAGACAAGCGAGAAATGAGGCTTGTAGAATAATATTAAAGATTATCAGTATATTAATATCCATTAGAGTGAAGTAATATATGGTGTATTGAGGCTTTGCGGCACCATCACGTGATGGCAGCCATGACACGAGGAACAATAAAATCTGGTCTAATCTGGTTTACATGAGAGAAGAAAGTTTCCATGGGGGAATTTAAGACTCTGTCGTTGTGCGTCCTGTCATGGCGCAAAGCCTCTATTATAAGATAAATGTTGAATAATATGATTTGATATCGTGGTGTTTTTTGTTGCTTGGAATGTTATATCAAGCAAATTTTTCTTAGAAAATATTCCGAGAAAAATGTACATAATGTCACATAATTCACATTTTGAATTTGATTTTATTAATGTATAAATGTATGTGACTTCTATATTGTTTCTTCACCAAAGGTACCAATAAAATAGTCATAACTGTTATGTCTAAAATCTGTATTCACAGTAACGAACCTCTTGAAACTTTCAACACATTATGCATGCCTTCAAGACATGTAGCAGAATAACTCTGTCTGAACTGTCGTCTTCTCTCAACGCTGTGTCATGATCCAAAAAAAAAAAAAAATAACTCTGTCTGAACTGTCGTCTTCTCTCAACGCTGTGTCATGATCCAAAAAAAAAAAAAAATTGCGCGCGCCTGACGTATCGCAGTGGGAGTTGCCATGAACGTGGCCTATTCTTCTAATACGACATTATTATTTACAAAACATGTCTACGCCTTCCACATACAGCTGTAGTTGCTTTCGCGTATTGAAGCTGTTCTAGCAAACTTTTCGCGCAATGGCCCCCTTGCAGCACTTCGGAATGCAGCTCAATTTGGAGGACATAACAATAGGTTTCCAATTCTTCGGAGATTTAAGTACATCATATGAGAAGGAAAACGAGCAAATTAAAAATGGAGGTCACCGAATTAATTTCTTTCAGAGATATATGTATCTGAAGAAGTTAAAAGTTTGTTTTCGTGATATTTTGCTGATCAAAACATTCGAATGACGTCATCACGTGAGCGCGCACACACTGAACATGCGTAATCGATGTAGTGTTCTTAAAATAAACACGTACACGTGCACACACTTTCTCATTTTAGAAATTGTCTGATAGAAGATAACCACCCTTAATCCTGTTCAGAACGTAGAAAATATTTTTTCTCTCTTTGGACATTATCAATACCTGTTTGTTTTGGGTGTGCTTACAGCCAACCACCTCGTACAATTAGAAACTTATAATTAACGTGTGCATGTTCCTACGATATTCGCGCTGTCGTGCAACGGTATTTTTACAAAGTTGAATATAATTGCGATACACTTTTATCACAAATATACATGTTGAACAAAGTCTATTGAATGCATTTTAAAGCCGTTAAAGGTAAAAAGAAAGAAAGAAAAGCTATAGCGCAACCAAAACTAGTTATCTTGGCTTTGTTTTGTTCTCATATGCGTCAGTGCCCTCGCCGTGCAATGTAATTTCGTAGACTTTTACTTAACTTTTTACAAAGAGTATAATAGTATAATCACTTAAGTCAGTTTGAGCTTGAATATAAACAAAGGTTAGGGTCCCTTGGGAGTGAAGACTGCGCAAGCTCCAGCAATACAGAAGACAATTCATCTCTCCATGTCGATGAAAAACAACAAGGGTAGTTTCTGGTTTAATTGCCAGGATATTCAGAGAGTATGCGAATATGACACCCAATAATAGTCTATCATGAGTCATGAATATAGAAAAGGACGGCTTTTCCGCCCTCAAAAATTGAACGTCGAGGCATGGAACGCAAAGACCAAGGAATAGTTTCAATATTAGTGATATACCTGGATTGCTTGGTGTAAGAACAATTGCTCAATCCATTGAACAGAAACACCATGGATAGCCCAAGAACTTCGAGATTGTATCAGAGGAGTAAAAGCTGGGCTTCTGCTACTTTAAGCCCGTTACTGCGGCGAAAAACGTTTCCTTCGCATCTTGATATACCAGGGAAAAACGAATCTGAATTGGAAGGTAAATACAAGCTACTAGATAACAATAGCAATAATATGGCATTCATTTAATAACTGTTCGTAGGATTTACACGTATATCATCAGCTTTAAAGGTTTTAAAATTGCTATCGAAACTTCATGTTGACCAAACAACATTTTTAACCATGACCTTCAAAAAAAAAAAAACTCCATGTTTTGACTAGAAATCATAAACCTTAGAGGAAACCTAAAAAACATAGTGTATTCAAACAATTTTTGAAACAAGAGATCGTGAAATTAATTATTTTATAAATTGGATAATTGATTTTTGGTTATTGGTGCAATGCGAGAAACAGCCAATATTGTATTTTCCCGGGGCTATCAATTTTATTTATATATATTCTTGTTTATATTTATCAGCCATCGAATTTTTAGAACAAAACTACAGTTCTATTGTTGAATCATGTGGTTTTTCTATCGAGTTATCGAAAATTATAGCTATGCTAGCACTACTTTTGAACTCAACTTGTTTGTTTTACCATTAACAAAACAAATAGAAAACACTGGATAAAAAATATCACGTTTAGGAATCATAACGCGTTTAAAATTTGATTCACACTTATTTTAACCGTTAATTATTCTATTAGAAACAGTGCTCTAATCTTTTTAATCTGATTATTGTCAGTGTGTATCAAAACCAATGTATATATTCTATATTTTTCCTATATTTTCTGCTTTGGATACTTTTTGGACAGAATTTTTTATGAAATTCAAAGACAAAAATAATTCATTTGTATTTAAGAAAACGTTATTCAATATTTAAATACAAATCGATTGACTGATAATTTTTTGCGTATTATTTCAAGTACGTCTCTTTAAAAAGCTATAAAATTTAAACAGTATGACAACTATCCCTTTTATCGCTAAAAATATTATCTTGGAGTAGCATTGAATTAATATTCCTTTCAGATTCGCCATAAGAATTATTTCTCCAAGATACCACTTGCACATTAGACAATGGATTTGCTCGGTTTCTGAGCGCGAATAATCCAATGATTTATTTTCATTTTCTTTCTTCAAAAAGAAACCGATAGTCCAGACAGTGCTACTTCCTCAGATGGAAGATGGTCCTTTTCTCCATTACCCAAAAGGAAGTCCAAAAATGAGAAAAAAGGTATTTAACATAATATTAATAAGGTACTGAGTACGATGTGCTTAGTGCTCAGTGCATCCAGAAAGAGGAAGACGTAAAGGAACATTTCTTAAATCATTTAAATACTTCGTTAAGTTCAACGCAAAGCTGCCATTTCAATTTGTCGGCGCGTAGCGTACGTCTGTGAGCGTTGCGTACATGCATTGATGCTGTGGAGGATAGGCACTCTACCACCAACCTGCGCACTACTGGGCATGCGCAAAGAAGAGTATTAAATAAAAACTCCCCCCCCCCCCCCCCCCCCCCCCCCCCACCTTGCTGTCAAATTGTTGATGATCAAAAAGATAAAGCCGGAATTTACTTGCGTGTTGCTGGTTTTCAATCATTCCCAAGAGAATGAATAACACTATCACGGCGGCCATTTTGGAGGATATGACAAAAGAGACTAGTCACGAATCTTTTGTTAAATTCATCCAACATGGGGGCTGTGAAAACTATCAACCATGCGGTCCACGAAAACAGTAAAAAGTGCTTACTGATCATTTAAGATCTTTGACTCTATAATTTATATTATTGCTGCAGCATTTTATAAGCGTTCCAGCCTGAGCAGCCTTCACATCGAAGACGACGATCTCGCGCCCCCAGCTTTGACACTAAAAGATCTTAAGTACAGGGGTAAGTTACATGATTATGGTGATGATATTTCATCATCTGCGCAAAAGTACTATCGTCATGATTCATCATCACCATAAACCATTTGTCTGTTGCTCTTGCCATTCAACATCTTCATCATCATCATTGCGCATGCGCGAAACCAACGCTATCATTATCATCAAGCCCAAGCCCATAATCATTACCGTCATAATCGCCATCATCATCAACATCATCATCATCATCACCACTGATAATCATCATCATCATCATCATCATCACCAACACCAACACCACCATCACCATCACCATCACGTGCACCATCACCATCATCATCATCACCACAATCATCGCCATCACCGCCATCATCATCATCATCATCCCCAACACCACCATCATCACCATCACCATCACCATCATCTTTATCATCACCATCATCATCACCACAATCACCGCCATCACCGCCATCATCATCATCATCACCACCATCACTGACCCCATCACCACCATTTTTATTCATCATCACCGATAATCATCGTCATCATCATGTTTCAACCATAATCAACAACACCTGGTAACCATCATCAACATCATTATCCCCATCACCATCGTCCTTATACTATATTCCTATATACCTCCTTACCTGTAACTATCATATTCAGCTGGTAATTAACCATCATTATCGATGATGGTTTGATTCTTTGACCATGCTTAATAATGCTCGTCCAGTTCTTTACCTTACTACAGTAAACACTACTACTGTTCCATACACTACAAGTGTTTGTTTACTTAAGTCTTTGTTGTTGTTTTTTTTCTAGCTGAGCGGTCACACAGTCTCGTGACAACCAATAATAAACCTTTATGGTCACCGACATTCAAACTAAAAGGAATAAGAAAAAGAGGTAAAATAATGTCACTGAATATTACTTCATTCAAACATTACATTTGAACTTATGATCAGCTGATACTTTACTCCATTTCCCTCTCCTCTGTTCATGGGATCGCGCGGTCCTCTCTTGGTAACTGGGTCCTAATTTAATTTATTAATTTATAGTGCACTAATATTAATGAAAAGAAATTTTGAAATGCTCAATTTTCTAATGAACTCCCGAAAATCCTCACTGAAGAGTGGAAGCAAGAGAAATTGTTAGAAGTTTGCAGCAGCCCTCGTTTCCGCGCTTTTTTTCTACCCATGCGGCGGACGGTAGCTGTGTGGGGGAAGGAGAGGAGAGGAGAGGAGAGGAGTGGAGAGGAGAGGAGAGGCGATAGATTTGTTATAGTCTTTAAAATGAAATTGATTGGGACAAGAAAAGGCATTTTCACGGACATATATTCTCCTGTCTTAAGGTGCAAACAACATTCTTGTTCACCGGGTTCTTGAGTCGCCGGAACTGAAACTGAACGGAAGTGACATCAAAAGTGACGAAGGTAAAGTGTTTGTCTTTTCTCTGACATAACAGTTTCAAGACTTCGCGAAATTTTTATGTGCCAATCCTACAGAAGACGATTGACATCCTCGTTCTTGTTGAATAGAAAATTACAAATCACACCTTGTGCCATGGGGGTGAAGTGGGGGTGGGGTGGTAGAGAGGCAGAATCGCCGTGCTAAAAGTATTACGCTAATCATTTTTACATGATTTTTAATAGATGAAGTACTTCAAAACAACCCTTACTGTTGTACAGAAGAAACAGACGCTAATTCTGGTGAGTTCTGGAAAATTAATGGGTCTATAGTCGAACCAAGGTCAAACTAGCGAAATATCCAAAGGTTTGACTTGCATTGTATAACAACGTAGAAGACGACAAAACTCTATAACAAATGGAAATTTACTGAATATCAACGATACATTAACGCAATATTAGATAAAATAACACGACTATAAAAATACTTGAACAGTTTGTTATAAAATAAATATTAAAACACTTTTAGCTGTTTACTTTAATCGTAATTAAAATTATTCCAGGAAATGCCAAAGTTACGAAATTTGTTTTTTCGAGGAGGTCACCTCTGATGTTCGTGGATTACACTAAATCATTTGATTCGTCAAAAATATGCTTAAATATTTCAAAAACATTGCTAATTAGGATAATTTTTATTGATTTTTTTCGCAAAATCAAACCTATATTCTGCAAAGTCAAAAGTCATTGTATTTGTTTATAAACATTGAGATCAACCAATCAGATAAGAGTATCTAACAGACGTCAAGAAGTGTCAATCAAATACATTGGATGTGGCAGTGTATTGGTTTCTCACTATAACATGGCTGACTTTGGAAAAGTAGTTTGATATTGGGCCTGATTTTGACCTCTCTGTTAACTCTACCATTGAATTATATTCAAGAATATCAAATACTGCCTGCAGCTATGTGACTTTTCGACGAGTGGGACTGGAAAAAAGGCCAAAAAATGTCGTCAATCTTTCCATCCATATCGATCAAGAGGAAGCCAAAGGGGTCGTCTTCCATCGTCGGACCACCTCTCAACCAAACTGCTTCACCTCCGTCTACAAGCCAAATATTTCGACCTCTAACCCCGGTTTGTAGTCTAATCAGTTGTACAAGAATCATTTGCAGTGTTAATCGGTGTTTTTAGTTTGCATTTGTCGTTTAGAGTGAGTTATAATTTGTTCAATTTGTTTCTCAATTGAAAGGAAGCAACACGTAAAGTGATAAGTACAGATAAGATTGTCGAACCGCTCAAGACTTCAAATAGCGATCAAGCTCTCGCATCTTCTTCAGCCAGTGTAAAGGAATATGAAGGAGACATTCTAGATACGTTTAGTTCAACGACTTCACCTGAATCAAAGACATCGAAAAGCCCAAGACCTCAGAGTCGACCTGGTTTGATTCACCGCGAATCTGTGAACTCGTTCCACGATCGAAGTGGTTCGGTCAACAGCGAAACAAGTTTGTACGGTGAATTAATAGAAGCCCCGATGGTAGATCAAGAAGATATTATAGCTTTAACACATCATGTACGAGCTTTTTCAGAAGCTCTAAGTGCCCTAAGAAACACTTTCTTCGAGCAGACAGGTATTGTATACTACACATATTTCCTCGTATTGATAAACTTTTTACTTGTTTAGACAGTGTATGTTTACAAAAGTGTCTCCTGGATATTCTTTGAAATGTTAATCCTCGAACACCAGGAAAGTTGATTATCATCGATCCTATTTTCGTTTCACAACAAGTAAAACCTTTGTATATCAAACGATTAAGAATTCAGCTGGCGATCTGTGGAATGTGAGGAGTGAGCATTGTACAAACACAAGAAGCGTTTTTGACTTTGACAAAGAATAACTTCTTTGAGATGAAAAATAAATACATCTAAGATCATTGAAAGTGCTCAAATATGTCAGGAATGAAGGAATGGCCTCCTACTTGCTAAGATTTCGACCAAACTTGCACTAAGCGACAAAACGACAAGCAAAAAAAAAGCGTTTACTATTAATTTACAAATTTCTTTTAAGTTTTAGCATAAGTGTTATTTTATCATACTTAGAATAATTAATTGTTTTCTTAAATTTTATAATTTCTAAGCCTTGAGATTTTTATTATTTTATTTTATTCTTTCCTGCTTTTAACAATTTATCGTGACTTAAACCTTGTTCGTGACTTCAATAAATAAGTTTACGAGCTAGTGAATTCAGAAGAATATATTATAACAATTTTTTTGGGGGTAATTAAAAAAACCTATGTTCATATATAAACATTTTGCTCATATGATTTGTAACTGGAGTCCTTGCAATAATTGATACAGACTTTTATTACCTAATTATAATTATTATAAATGCAGAAATGTGTATGTGGCAACTTAGCAAAATAACGATTTAATAACATTCGATTTATCAATATGAATAACCAACCATATTTTCATAATAAATTAGTTATCAACAGATTAAATTGAATGATGTGATATAATTGTTTCAATCCATTTTATATTTATGTTTTGAAAAGAATTTATATTTCTTGTAGTTTTTCAACTTGCAAGCTATAGTTCTACAGCACATTTTCATTGAAAAAGGAAAATGAAGCTAGCTAAAGTGAAAGTGTCTTTGTACTTGCAATATTATACAATAATTTACTACCAGTACAGTGAAACATATAAGTAGTTATTATGATTGTTTGTTACACATTTCCCTGAGGAATTTCTCTTAAATTTTAACTAGATTTGTTTTCTGACTCATATAACAATTTTCCAATGTATACTGTAGAGAAGCACTCAAGTAGGCATTTTAAACCCATTAATGGACATTGTTAAATTTGGAGAACTTCTATAACATAAAATCAAAAATCATGAATACAAATTATAGATTAGGATGTTATTATAGCAAAGGATATTCATATATAAAGGAGAAAAAACCTTGTGGAGGAGTGGTAGTTATTTTACAAATTATTTTATATTTTCTTCATAGATATTGGAAGCTCGAGGTTGGTTGTTTTGTTCTTACATCAACAATTAATTGCAAGTCCTAAACCTATCCCTGAGAAGGAACTTTTATTTTACATGTTTTAAAATGATTACCAGGGCTGCATGCATATCGTCAAACACCTCTTAAGAAATTCACTCTTTAATCAGTGTGATAAAGTCTAAAGTAAACCTATCAATGAGCTTTGATATGTTTTCCTTGATATTTTCTTGAATTCCAGACCTATTGTTGGTTAAGTGTATTTCTTTTCATTTAGAGTCTTATTGAGGTCACAGCTTTTGATATATCTGATTCTTAATCCTCTTAGCAGCTGCAAATGCAGACATAAACATGTTTATCAGTGGTTAACCTTTATTCATTAATAATATGCAAGTTATTTAAGAAGTTTGTCTTGTTTTCAATTCAGCTTAATGATATTATGTAGGGAAATTAATATTAAACATGTTCTTGCATTTATGTGTTTATCATACCACATTGCTTGTGCAATTGGGTGGCTAAGTTATATAGCCCAGCTGTAATAAACCCAGCACTTGGAAGAGACAGTGCAAGTTTTTAGTTCTTGGTGCTCATGTATAATATTTGTACAATTATTGTATGATGGGAATTTTAGAGAGATAAATATGTTTTTGGAGAATCCTTGAAAAATCTCTACATTCTGAGAAAAGAACAAACTAGTAGTGATGTCATGTCATTCAGTAATATTAATAAGAAAGAGTTGTTGGGAGAATGAGCACTTTGGATATGTGTTTTCTGTAAGAACAAGAATCTTGATAATGCTTTAATCAAAAAATCAATATCAGAATGTACCCTCTCCCCAATTTTTTCCATCATATTTTATAACTAGTATTACATTATTTGATAGAAACTCTAGATGATGACCCTCCAGAAGTAAAGGCACATGAACGGCTAGGTGAAGTCCTGTCTATCCTAAAAGGGGTCCTCAATCAGTACCAGCCCCTTCATTCTACTGACATATTGGCAGCGGCTGGGACATTAATTAATAAAGTCAAAAGTCACAACTATGAGAAATCTGATAAGGCCCCTGAGGAATTCTGTGAATCTATTGATCAACTAGCATTGGCCTTCAGTAGTAGGTAGGTCAAGTGATAACATTTATGACTTTTAATAATTGAATATTATGAAATTGAATATTATGAAATATTAATAATTAATATTTGATATTTAATTTGATAAAAGTTTGTTATTTAATTTCACATTATTCTAAGTCATTATAAAAACAGTTATAAATCTTGTATTCTGATTGATTGAGATGGCATGCATTATGAGAGCACAGAGTATGCATGTGCACTTTCTGTTTCATTATTTGCTTCTAAATAACAGCTACAAAAAGAAATTTTAAAGGCCTTACTTTCTGTGCTGTGAGAAGCTATAACGCATTTGGGGATTATCAGAACACTTGATAAGAGTTTTTCTCTAAAACTTCTCTTGTGTTCTGCCAATCCCCTTGTGCTTTATAACTGCACTCAGAGAAAAGAAAAAGGAAAAAGAAATATTAAAGTAGAAGGGAAAAGTGAAAAGAAAGCAAAACAGAAGACTTGAAATCTTATAGTACGTAAAAAAGAAAGAAAGAAAAAATAAAAGAATAAAAGATAATGAAAATAAAAGAAAGAAATGAAAATAGGAAAAAAGTAGACAAATTGTAAAATATCTTAGATGGGGTTCCTGTGTTGCTCTCAACCACTTCCTGTTCTTACCTCATGATCTAATGTTGAAAGCGAAAACAACCTCAGAACATCCCAATAGAACTGTCACATAAAATGATTCAAACCATGCACAAATACCTAAAGAATGCTGGAGCTTGAAACCAACCCACAGACACCATATAACGATCTATATACTGTAGAGTAGGTCTGTCTCTTCATATCTGGTCTTGGTACTAATCATTTATGTTTTTAGTGTGTCTGACTTTCTGATGGGCGATCAAGACATGCCTATATCGGCATCAAGAGAACATTCTAGGGTAAGGTTATCTTAATCTCCCCAAACCACTACAATCTCATCACATATTATTCAATCTCATCGCATATTTAGTCCAATGATAAAATACGTATATTATAATAGTTCAATGTTTACCATTTGAAAATATTTACTGTTTACATGATGACTATTTACTCCTCTTGTTTCGATTATGATTTTCAACAATTTGCCTCCAATTTAATATTGACTTTAATGCGAATTTATCTCATGGGTTTCCTTGCTTCTTATTTTAATTATCAAAATCTTCAGACATTTTTAAGACTATCTTTGTGAAATACCTCGTCGGTAGTTGTACCACAAGAATACAACGGATGGATCGTTTGGATTTGAACGTACAGCAAGTATGTTTTCATCCTGTTTAAAGTGATGATCGATGAATTCAAAGGATATTTCACATAGTTTCTTAGCATTGTTGATCGTAATTCATAAGCACATGCAAACAAAAGATGTTTATGTATTTATTCATTAAGATCATTATTGCATTGTATTTTTTAACTATTTTTAAGCATGTTTGATTTAAAAAGCTAGATGCCGAGGACCAATTTTGTACAGTGATATAAGCGTAACGCAATCACCTAATACTAGATAAAGTATATATAAATGTTTGTAACACAACGGAGTCAAGCTATTTGACCATAAATAGCGTTTTTTGGGATGCCTTGGCGTTTTATTCTCTACTTTCACATCCCCATAATACTTTGCGTCTTTGGGGGGTAACCAGAGGGTAAAAACCCACTTATTTTGCTGAAGGCTGATCAGACAATGTTGAAAATACCTTGTTTGGTATCCAAAGATAAAATGAAGAAGTAAAAAACAGAAAAAGATAGAAGCTTGAAGACGTTTAAGGTAAATTTTAAGCATTTTTTCGTAAGTCACTACATTTTCTGTAAGACCAAAACTCTTGATGATCTGTACACGCAAAAATAACTGATGATCAGTATTGTACAGATAAAAGCAGGTATAGTATACATTCAATTAAGAAACCTTTCAATTTGGCATTATGGGAATGTGAAAGTAGAGAATTTGTTAATTTTGGTCACACATAGATTATACAGGCAAATGCACATGGACAGAAATGTGTCGGCCAATGCTCGTAAAAAGTCCGAACAACTAGAGAAACAACAACTGCAACAGCAATAACGGCAAAAGCAAAAAAAGACACCAGCAACAACAGCAACAAAAGTAAAAGCAGCAGCAATAGCAATAGCAACAGTAACAACCTCAACAAAATGTGTGGAAAGAAGCACAAAACTCCGTCTTTTGTCAGCAAAACCTTATGTTCTTGTATTTTCTTTTGCCATGGTTTTAAAGTAAGGGATATAGCTAAATAGCTAGATCATCTTTCCTCCGCTATGTACATGTTTTCCAATCAACTAGTCACACCCTCAAACAATGTACAGTATTTGATTAGTCGTCGTGCTGTCTCAATCCCTTCTCGTGGTATTTGGCCCAAACTCAAACCCCGGCCAACCAGCTATTCTTTCCCACACCCACCACCTTTACCCCTTAAGGGATGATCACTTGTAGCACATTACTAGTAGTGTACATCTAACTCGCTTGCCAACATTGTGGTTTTGGCGCCATAGAAGGGATTCTTGATAATTTTGTACACCTAGTTGGAGCCTTGGCTCCCAGGATTACTTGGTGATGTTTTCCTGTAATACACCCTCGAGACTACTAACCTGAATACTTATCTTAACCGTAAGCTTCTAATTAGGAGACAAAAGGACGGTTTGTGTAAAGAAGAGCAAGACCGTGAAGAATTCTGTGACTAGCGCATCATGAGCGATGCATATGTGATGAGTTGAGGTGTGTGTGTGTGTGGACTGCTGGCAGGATAGAGTTGAAATATCAGCCAATATCAGTGGTAGACGTTCGTCTATTTGTTTTCTCTTTTGTTGTTGTTGTTGTTGTTGCTTGCATTCATTACGCGCGCTTGGCGGATGCAGAGTGTGTCTTCCCAGTAGCCATTTCAGTGTGTGGTTTACTACTTTTGGGTCACCCATAGCTTCGGGAGCACTCATGGTTCTACTTAAAGATCTACTAATAGATTTGACTTGGTGATTAAAGAGCAAAGTATGGACAAAGGAAACCAGAACATGCTCAAAAACTCCGGTAAATAGTTTGTCAGTGTTTGGTTCCCGGTACAAGTCATGTCTTCATACGTCAACTAACATACAACTCTTCCAACTTGTAATGGAAATTAAACGACTCGTGACTTTGAAAGACAGCTTACTTGCTAGTTTTACCCTACCCTTTATGGGTGTAGAATATTCTTTGTTCTCGTGTTTGAACCGGGAACAAACGAACAGGGAAAATGGGTTGCTTTATATCTGAGTATAGCATGTGATACTGGTGATGATTCATGCTTAACTAACTCACTTCCGGTGACCACTCCTCAAATCTCCTCCTGTCAAAATTTCTCCGAAAAAGTGCGTCTTTAGGAGTTTTATGATTTCGAAAATTTCAACTTTTGACATTTGTTTTCTGTCTTGTTTTATTGATATACTTTTATATTAAAAAATGTATATGATAATTTTAACTTTTATGTAGCTGTCCGTAAAGTTATAACTGATCTTAACCTGAATTACTTTGTGAATACTTGCATTTGTGTCGTTGGTTTGGCGGATAGCGAATATGATAATGGAGAGGACCGGAAAACCCTTCGTAATAACTTACATTTCTATTCTTGGAGCTGTCAGCATCGGTAAATCAGATTGTGTATCACAACTTTATTGCCTTTTGTCCTGAAACACGTCTAGGGTTTCACTTTGAAAACCGCATGAATTTTGGACTTTGTTTCTATCCACTTAACAGCGTGTCTCACTGTACAACAGATGTACTAGTTGGCTGTAGCGATTTAATCGTGTTACTTTGACGAATTTTATCTTAGTTTTTCAAGAAAATAAGGCCAAATGTTTCTGTTGTTGGAGGATATTACGCGTTATAAGCCAGAACCGATGACTTGTTTCTTGCAGTACTCTTGCATACCAATGACAAGAAGACAACTCTCTCTTGATGTAAGTCAAAGTACTTTCTCTCCTAAAGAGTTTATATTTCATTTCTGTTTATATTCAAAGAAGTTGATTATTTCCTGTAGAGAAATGAAAACAATAATAGTCTTATTTTACACGAAATTTAAACCGCTCTTTAGAATTTTTTCTCTCACTTTCGAATGGAGAAAGACTCATTTTTCAGATACACCGTTTGAGGTTGTATTGTCTTTTCAAACTTTCTAAGTTAGTTTATATTTAGCTCAGAAAAGGAGATTAATCGAAAGAGTGAGTTTTTATAAAAAAAGACGATCAGAAAGATTCTTTTTATAGTTTGGTATTCAAATAATATCATTTAGTAAAATTATTTTGGTGCTGACCTTCGCCAAAACAAATCTTTTAAGTCTCTTTACTGTGATAAAAACTGCACGATAAGCGTGAGAGATTATAACAGAATCGCCACTGTTATTTAGCATTGTTTTGATAACTATTGACTTTATCCTTTATTCTTATTCTTTCTTTTCAAATACTAATTCTCGGGATATTTTTACATTCTCAACTCGAGCCTCATAAGGGGCTATAATAAGATATTATTTTTAGGTCCTCATTATCGCATAACTCTACTAAAAGCGCTACGTTTAGAATTCATTGAGATATCTTAATCCCACCCTGACCTGGCATGTTTACATTGCTCTGTTTTTGGTGGTTTAGCGGGATTTTCGGTCACGCTGCTTTTAGCTGTCAACTTAGACAAACTTTTCGGTTTTTGTTTCAAACTGACGTCACTGTATGACGTCATTTTGGTGGGATGAATTCTTGGAAACAACGGGACTTAGCTTTACTTTCCTGTTCTGTCAACCGATACATTTTGACAAATTTTGACATATGGAGCTGTTTTTCAAAATTATTTTCATTTTTTGGGGGAGGGGAGGGGAGGGGAGGTATGTAGTCATATTTTCTCTTTAAATTTCACCGTTTTTGTCATCATCATAAAGGACAAAATTCACTATACACTTGCTGTTGCATTCAAATGGCTTTCCATTGTTATGCTGACCAATCAGGACGTATCGAGTTATCACCGCCACAGCGTCTACGTCCTTTAGCACCGGCTACGAAAGTTTCGTATTCATTACACTCACGTTACAAGGGATAGACATTATTGGGTCACGTGTTTATTTCCCGTCATAATTACGGCTTACCAGACACGGGGTCGTAGACTCTTTGCCATTAAGTGGCGGACTTAATCACGTGACCGGTGAAATGTTTATACCACAGGAATCCCGTAATGTCAATTGTTTCATCTCTTCTTGCTTTGTAGTCTCTGGAAGACTTTGCTGATGATGACGAAGACGATGATATGTATCAAGAAGAAGAAGAAGATCTTGAAGATGAGGATGATGAAGACTATAAAGAAGACAGACGAGTGTCAGATAAGAAAGAACCATGTAAGATAGATATTTTGGTCATATACTCATAATGGATTTATTATGTGAATATTGCTAACACCATCCTTCTCGTTTTCACAGCTGTTGATAAATCAGCCCAGAAGGCCAATGAGTTGGATAAGAGGTTATTTGGACTCGAGCACGGTGTAGACCTGGCGTTACAAAGAACCAAAGTTTGGTCTAAATATGCCAAAGATATCTCGACGTACCTGGAAAGAAGGGCACACCTAGGTAAGCCTGTACTATAGCATGCGGTGCGCACACTGAAGAAAGATACTGGTAATTAGACCAGTCTGTTTGCTCTATCAGTAAATTCGCTCTGGTTTTGTTTGTGATACTGTGAATACCTTTGACCACTGTTTTCATTGCTACATGAGTTGATCGAGACAGCAGTAGCGCCATGGATATCGGGAATACACTCATACCGTCTCACCGCGGTCCCCATGTACTCTTCATTTACTCTAATGATATACTTGATTGACGGAAATGTGTTGCCCGATATTTTTTCATGTCGCGACTGTTGTCTTGAACAGCACGTAGCGACAGATTGTGGTAACAGCAGATTTAAGCTTTTGACATTTAATTTCTGTTGTTCGTTTGATGTAGAGCAAGAGTTTACGAACAAACTTTCAAAGTTGGCCCAAGCAACCAGGACAGCAATCACTGAGGAAGTAAGGAAAACTCTATCTTTGATCTGCGCGGCAACCTGAGGGGCCTCAGTATCATGTACATACGTACCCTGAAGAGTCTTCCACTTATCGTGGTTGTAAAGCGCAATAAGGAAGTTGTGGAAATGTACCTTTGTAAAGTAGGTTTACCAAGTGGAAATGAAAACGTACGCCTCGCAACGTTACAGCGGACGCAGTTTCTGCAATTAGCGATTCCTTAGACGCGACTAGCCAGCGAGCCAACGAGCCAAGGCACGGCACGGCACGGCAAGGCATGGTGCAGACATGCGTATTTCCCATTAATTCCCTTACTATGAAGTGGAACATTAGAAATTCAACTTGGAGATTTATATCCCGATATCCAAATCAAGTCAAGCGCTGGCGCAATTTTGAACGAGAAAGGATTTATGCGTCATGTTACGATCTCTCTTTTGTACAGCGGTATCTACCATTCCAGTCCATCTACGTGACGTCACTGGATCAAGACATCGAGTACGCGGAGAATTGCACCAAGACTTACAACGCACTTTTGACCTCTAAGTTTCTTGAGGTAGGTTGAGGAAAAAGTTGTGACTTAGTGCGTGAAAGACTAAAGACTGTAGAATCTGTAATCTGACGATGACATTAAGTAAATCTTTTGAGGTCTCAATCAAAAAAATTTCAAACAAAGATTGAAAATTCGGAAAAAACCGTCAAGGAAAAAAAGATTATTAAGTTTATTTTCAATTTTGCAGCCTTTGCAGACAAGAAGAACGTACCATGAAAGAAAAAGAAAGGAACTAAAGGAAAGCTGGACAAAAGCTTACAAGAAACTGGTAAGAAACGTTTTTTATTTTTCAATATTCAAAGAAAAAAAACTTAAGAAGAAAGAAGCTAAATAAAAATGCGTTAGTCAGTGAGCAATACGCCTCCCGTCGCTTCCCGTTCACGCACAATAATCTCATCATCTTTCTATCCTCCAACAGCGAAAAGGGAAAGAGTATTTGCAAATTGACATGTAGAAAATATCAAAATGGGATGACCAAACCGACTTCGGGATTTTTTCCCTTTTTGCGTGAGCTAAATCTTGACTTATGCATCATAATTTTTCAGAACGAGGCCATTGGCAAACTAGAGAAGGCAAAGCAATCTTATTTCATTAAACAGCAAGAAATCGAAAAGGTAATGAAGTTCCTACCCCCTCCCTCGACAGTTTTATTCATTGAACTTGAAAATCTCTTCAGCTATAACTGGCCCTTGGTTTCCTCCCTCCGCGTAAAAATCAACGTGTGAGTTGAGCGTTGTGTGCATAGAATATTGAAAGAAGTGGTAGTGCGTGTGAGCGAAAATTGTCCCCAATTAGTGCGTAAGCGCTAGAACGACTAGACACTTCAATAAAAGTGATTTATTTATTTGAGAGAATAGTCTCTTCTGAATATGACTGTGTTTTATAGCTTGACTCGTTTGTACAGGTTTAGCCTCGTTTAAGAGCAAATCATTTGCGAAAGTCAAATGTATATAGTGTACGACTTGAATAATGCCAATGTTTTGAAATTCCACGGACTTATGATGTTATCTGTGAATGACTTACTTATGAACAAGGCTAAGAGTGTGAGTGGGTCTGTGGTCTTTAAAAACAGTCGGTATGTCGCGAATGCGCCGCTAATTGGTCTATAAGCAAGTCTAATGATAGTCTAATGACACTTGACACTTGTGTTTTGTAGTTCAAGTCGCTTTCAGACTCCAAAGATGGCCAGGAACTGTCTGCGTCATTCACTCGCATACAAAAAAAGAAACAAGAGGACTTGCGAAAAGCTGACGATGCAGAGGAGTGGTACAAACAGTGCGTCGGGGAAGCGAACGTCAGACAACGTGAACTGATGAAGACTAAAAATCACGTGTTGGTTGAACTGCGTCAGCTGATTTACCAATGCGACCAAACCATGAAAGCGGTGAGTAATGTTATCACAGTACGGAAATATCGAGATCTAACTGAAGACGTCGGTTGAAATAACCAGTTCGCGCGATGCGTCAGGTCAATGCTGATACAATATGAGAACGCTTGGACGAACGATCATGGTCACGGTCACGCTACGCCACCATCACAACCTTTTCAGAGAAATAAGAATCTTCTGAATGTATTAAATGCACAAAACCAAATAAATCCTAGATAGTTTCCAGTTGTAGGAATACTGGAGTCTGTCGTCCTCTGCCTTCCTTTGAGGTGACATTCAGTGTGGTTGGATCTGATGACGTCATCTATATCCTGATGACGTCATTAGTGGTGAAGATTCGATTTTTAAACTGATGTCTCATGTTAAGTGATCTTGTTTACATCATCATGTATTGTAACTCTGATAAGGGATCCTTATTTAATCTTTAGGTAACATGTAACTCGTGTATCGTAATCACATGATGAATCTACACACTATTGTCCTAATGACGTAATTTAGGTTCTGATGACGTCATCAATGACCTTAAAGCGGACCTTTTAAGTATTCTTGTATGATATTCTTGTATGATTATCCTGTATGATACTAATGATTATGGATCATTATTATTTCATCTTTAGGTAACGTGTAATTTCTTTCATATGATGAACCTTCAATCCACTCCTTCGCCCATCCGTTTCCAGTGTCTAGAAGAAAGTAGTCGAGCGTACGAACCCGGCAGTCAGTTCTCAGACTTCGTTTATGACCAGCTTACTAGTTCCCAGCCCACAGTGGAGAGAGTGTTTGGCTTTGAACCTTTTCAGCCAAGCAGCAGTGGAAGGTCAGTAAGCATGAACTTTTCGCAGAAGTTTTATGTCTCTCTTTTCTCTATCTTAACTACTTGAGATAAAAATCTTTACGCTAACTTGTATGGGCATAACTTTGTGTGCATGCTGACTAAGAGAAATGCAGGTTCTGCGACCACAAAATTTCCCGCCATTTTGTATGAGCATGCGCAAAACGTTTTATTGCTTTTCACACCATATTACTTGCTGATATTTTAACTATATTACTGATTTATTTTGCCTTTTTCTTCCAAAGTTCGGACAGACTAAACCTCAACACTCGAAGCAGCTCAGAAAATCGACCAAACTCACCATTCTCAAGCCGTCGAAACCTAAGCCTCAATAACTCACACCCGCCCTTAAAAGCCTGGGGAAATAACCTACATGAGAACTTGAGTGATGTTGAGAGCACCGGAAGTAAATCTGCCCCTGTTACGCCAGAGGGGAGCCCCGTAGCTTCAAGACATAACAACCGTCCTCATCGAGCTTTGGATGAAGATTCATCAGACGATTCGTTCAGTGGAAAAGGTATGGATTTTTTTCTGGTTCAACTAACCTCTTTTTTCAATTGCCTTTCCATAAATCCATCAAGTAAATATTAGAGCTCCTGTTGATAACCGTGAATTATTGTACATTTACTGAAAGGATCAACCCTGTCGAAATAAAAGCATCTATCTAAAATAGTAGCCGCCATTTTGGATAGGGCCCTGGCCTTGAGTTGAAAAGGCTAGGCTACCTAGTATAGGTTTTTTGAAAAAACTGTTATCATGGTAGTGCTATAATTTATCTTCAATACTGACGGCTTCCATGAAAAGGTAATCTATAATAACTTTTTTTATACTAACAGAAACCCGTGCACCTCGCAAGCCTAAAGCTACAGGTCGTAGCGGAACGGGTCCATTCCAGAACTGCCGCATGTCAGCAGCAGCGCAGACTCACAAGTTTAAGAAGCTTCGAGCACCTTCCAGGTGTCGTGACTGTGACAGCTATGTGTACTTTAACGGCGCTGAGTGCGCGGACTGCGGGCTCACGTGTCATCGGAAATGCTTAGCAAGAGTCAAGAATCGTTGTGATAAAAAGGTGAATAAACTCAACCCTCCCCACTGAAGACAATATTTTTCATTGCCCTCCCCTACGGGTGAAATTTGTCAACTTTTACCCAACCAAAAACGTGACAATGAATTGTAACGCAATACGTTTTGTACTGTGTTTCAGCTCAACGGTCCAGGGAGTCGCGGCTCTAACTATGTAAGTTGATTTTTGTTACATTATTTTCCTGATATCTTGTTTATTTTTGGTAATTAATCATTACACATCTTTGATTGCAGAATGTTGGTCGACGCATGACAACATTTGGTGTTGATTTCGACTCTCATTTACGCGCCACCTTAAAACATGGCGAGTATGTACCCTACATCGTTTCTCATTGTGTAGACGAAATCAACGATAGAGGTACGTCACGCAAACATTGTCACGCACGTCATCACTGTCACGCAATAAATTGTCACATTTATATATTTTACAACCATAATAACTTTATTATTTATAACGCGCTTTTCCTAGCGCTAAACCATCACGCCCCATACGGGCTTATCCTTTGAGGCTCGCACCACACGCACTACAACACTACATTCTGTATTTACAATATACACCCCTCAACTTACATGTCGAACTTATGATCTTCAGGGCTGCAGTACAAGGGAATCTACAGAGTATGTGGAGTGAAATCTAAAGTCGAAAAAGTTTGTCAGGTAAAAACGTAGCAACACTTTGGAATCTGAACGCCCTTGTTCTTTGATCCAAGCGCGCAATCACAGACCCAGACTCACCACCTTAGCTATGCTAATCAGCGGCCTTCTATTTGCAGATTTTTGAAAACAGCAATGGAAATGTAGACCTTCAAGACTTTCAACCCCACGTGATCGCCGCAGTACTCAAGTTATATCTCAGACAGGTATAAAACACAGGGAACACAATAGCACAAAAAGTGAAAACCGATAACCGATGGTCTGATTGTCTTATCTTTTTCTTTACTAGTTACCAGAGCCTTTACTGACCTTCAAACTTTACCCAGAATTCATCAAAATCGCACAGGTAAGTCAAGGTTTTTTTCATTTAGCACAGGGGGTCCAATCGCTTTTTTATAGAGCTTTATTAGTTTGCAGCAGTTTGATTCCAAAATGTGATGATTGCTGACAGAAGTATCGCGGGCCGCCATAAGTGCGAGGCAATTTCGGATAAATGATTTGTTTATTTCAATGTTAACAATCCGCCATACGTTTGACAGCACATTTTGGAATAAAGTATTTTGTGCATTAGCCTTATCGCGGGCTCATAGGTCAGCAGGGTGTATCGCGGGCGCGCGTTCAATCAGGAGCCAATAAATTAAATGAACACTAGACGTTTGCATCCCAGAATGCATCACAGGATGAAAGCGGTAGTCTCCAAAGTGAAGACATCTCGCGCAAACTCCGTGAAGTTGTTGTCAAGCTTCCAAAAGCAAACTTCAAGACAGCAGCCAGGATTATTAATCATTTGAAACTTGTGGCGGACAACGATAAGGACAATCAGATGTCGGCGAGTAACCTGGGAATCGTGTTCGGCCCGACGCTTCTACGACCCCGGTAAGACATTAAGGAGAATGATTTGTTTATTATGTTGTCTTTATCATTGATCTAGGGGCTCTCTCGATATTAGGGTGGAGTCTAGATTTGAAACTATGATAGACCAGCATGTATAAGACCAAAAGTGTTTGTGTGGGGGAGGGGGTTGAGATTTTAAAAGTTCTAAAGCTAAAGCTCCCCCAGCTGGTCTCTCTCCGGTTCCTTGTCAAACAACGAATTTTGCTGGAACTAATGCTCGAGGAACTCGTACGACGCAAAACATCTATGAACGTCTAAGGCTAAATCTACTCTCTTTTTAGGGAGTCAGCCAACTCGGATTCTGTTAGTATGCCAGCGTTAGTCGATATGCAACACCAAACGAAAACTGTGGAACTTCTCATAAAGAACCCAGAGGTTTGTACGGACTTTTACTGTGGGTGTGGGGGGAGGGGGATTATCATTGTTTTACTTAGTACGTGGGAGGGGGGATTGGGGTAATTTTGTCTACTTTTCCAGTGGTTGTATTCCTCTTTGATTTTATGATTTTAACGATCAAACCTTGTGTAAATGTTTAGTATACTGAATCAGTATTTCTTGTGTTTGTTAAGGTATTTGACGAGCCTGGAGAAGATGACCCTGCATCACAAGAAACACCAGTAGAGGTGAGTACACCACGTGATAAAAACTCGGACACAAAAAGATTGTGCTGGGGAGGGGTGGGGATGGTTGTCGTAATATTTCGGTATGCTACACGATCACTCTGTTTCGCCGCACAGGTGGTCATTTACAGAAGCCACGCTCCGGCCCTTTTAAGATTGACGTATAGATAAAAACTCCATTGACATTTGAAAAAAAAAATACGAAGGGTTTTGATAAATGGCATTTCACTATAAAGTATTGCTGCTTTACTTCAGGAGTTTTCATCAGTTGAGCGAGACAAGAATGGAAACGAGGTGGGAAATGTCTGCAGTACAAGACCTAAAGGTATGTAAGACCCAACAGACAATCCACTCACTCCAACAATAACCATATGGATATTGAAGATTACGTGATGCTGTGAAAAACAGTCTTCATGTCTTGACCGTGTCGTGTCCGAGCGTTGGGAGTTGGATAACCAGGAATTTCACGCTCTGTGATTGGTCTCTTGTTCCTTTACTTTTAACATATACGAATTCTACTCTAGTTGTGATTATAACTGATAATATATTTGTTGTATATTACCGTTCCAGATATAAAGATTCCAACGACCCAGGTGACCACAGACGATAGAAGGTAAAAAATACATAACTGAAGCATATGCATATTGTTCCTATTGAAAAATGAAGCTTAGTCTCGTTTGAAAGGGAAACAGCTGCGCATGCGTTTATGATCATTCACATAATGCCCCTTTATATTTATCATGACCGCGATCGAAATCCTCACTCTTGGGCTAGCTGTGGTTTGCATCTGTGGTTGGTTGGTACACAGACATATATACCACCATTGTACTATATATGGCCAACATTAATCCATTCAAAATGATGAAAATGATAATTAATAATCACAACTGCTCGTCATTTTCATGAATCACTGGTCATTTTTCATTTAAACAGCTCACTACTCAACATTCCTGTTTCTTCTAAACGCTTACGTAAATCTAGTTCGCCTGCGTAAGTATATTATTCACGACCGATGACCTACGTTTTCATCTTGGACGTTTTCCTCGATCATTATGAGGATTCTAACTCCAATCGGCTAAACTAGAACATAGAGGAACCAGAAGAGTGAGAGTGATGGAGTATTGAGAAGGTGCTCCAGGTGTCTAAATTCATTACCTTTGAGGAAAAGTTAGAATTCTAAAATATCGAGTCGTTGTCCAGGCATCTAAATCATTTCTTCATTCTTACCGAGTCACATTACTAATTGCATGCAGCATTAGTATTAGTAGCATTGATATTTTTATGCGTCTTGTTCATGTATCATTGTATCATGTTCAGCTTTTATGCCCCTCGTCATTATAACCTAACCCAACGTGAAAATCTGGTTCTACCGGTTGAACCAGAAGAACCAGTTAAACCAGTTGATCCCGTAATGAAGGCCAGTAGGAAGTAAGTAATCGCTAATCTATAAAAGTTCAAAAAGAACTTAATACTACTGACCAACACTAAACAATCTAACTCGACTTACACTAAACTGACATAAACTAAGCCGGGCTCAGTGGTTGCTATGGTAATGATTTACTATCGTTTTTGGTTTCCATGGAAACTAAAGAAGAAATGGTATGGTGGCCGTTTTTCTCGGGCTTCATGTCACCAACATTGTTTCTTTCTTTTCGTTTTCATCCTTTATTTATTTTGTATTGTTCTCTCTTGTGTCACAGCAAACTTGGTTCTCAAATCACTCCAGTTCCACGATCTGCCTACGTTACCTCTCCTCCAGCATCGTCCCCGTAAGTAACGTATATCACATTAAGGTGTATTTTTGCCTGCGGTACCCCTGTGTTATCGAGTAAAACAATCTCGCCGACGAGCCTGCATCTCTTCTAGTCTGCGGCGAAGGACGAGGGAAAGAAATTTCTTAATTCCTTTCCTCGTTCTTTGCCGCAAGCCAGAAGAAACGCAGGCTCTGGGTAAGAGATTGCGAGTAAAATAGGCGCTTGTATAATGCGCATGCGCAACACTCAGAGGGTTTTTGTCTTTGAACCAATCAAATAGCAAGGAGTGCACGCCAGCATCCAATAGCATTACTGCATGGAATACCATTTGAAGGTGCCATACTTTACAAGTATGCCGGAAAGTTTAGAAACTTATGTACCTTAATTTTTTTTGGTCTTGACATTCATCGAAATTGATCTCACTTGATTCGTTTATTCTTTACAGGAGAAATGAATACTTTGATTTACTTTCAAGGCCAAATGAAAGACCTGAGGTGAGTCAAAAGACAAAAAAGCCAATTTTTATTGTTACGGGATACCGTACAAAAGCCTCTCTCAAATACTCTGCGCATGATTTCCCACTCTTCACAAACTCTGCTCGAGAAACTCGCTCGAGAACTAACATGAAGACGTTATTTAAACGTTTTTTTCTTTCAGAACGAAAGAGCTCAACAGTATGCATTACCTGAGTTCTTACTTCCGGGTACCACTGCGGAACAGGAAGACCAAGACGAAGAGGATGATAAAGACGTTGATGACAGCTATGACGATAGCACTCAAGGTAAGGATTTCGTTTCCTCTTGGCATTTGATCACGTGATCTTGGTTGGATGGCAAAATGGGGCTAAATTCCTTGATACTCTTTCACAAATCCCATTTGTATATCACATTTTTTCTGGAGGACAAGCTGTAACTGCCGCGTGCTGTCATCCAACATGGCGAACATCATTGATTATTATTATTTAATTTATCAGGTACCAGTGGCTCTCGTACACCGGACGACGAGTTAAACAGTTTAAGGGGAAGCCTGGGACGAGATGGTTTTACATCGAACGTTGACAGCCAGATGGAGGAATCTCCTGTCAATCAAGGCGAATCACGTGACTTCATTCCAAACTCGACTTCTGAGATGTCATTGATATCAATAGACTCCTCCGCCTACTCGATGTCTGCCAGTTTTGGGTCTGACACTCAAGATGATAAACTACTTCCAGACCTCTCCGAGGCAGAACCAACCAAACGAGAAAAGTTGGAAAACTTTATGAGTTCTCAAACTGACACGGTGCTTACGAAATCTGTCGATGATATATCTGTCCCAAACTCCAATCGTCCTCGACCAAGCAATCTTGGGCTATTGAAAAGAAATTCTGATCTTCCTGGGATGATGTCACGACTTAATTTCTTTGCCGTTAGCTCTAAAACATCTGAATCAAAAGATTCGAACAAGCAGCCAGCTGAACCAACCTCAGGGACCAAAAAACGTCCGGGAATCTCAGATGCTCTGCGTGAAATGCACGTGGTTTATGATCCTTTGATTGCGAATGCTGATAGGATAGTGACAGGTAGCCAAACCTCCATTAAAGAAGAGGMGCAATCGTCAGGTGTTGTCAAGGAAACGCCCATTCCTGACACCCCCCTGGAAGATAAGGAGCTCCAGGAAAATGAAAAAGAAACGAATGATGAGAAAGAATGGTATATGACAGAACAGGACGAGATAATCGAACCGAATACTGAGAACAATATATTAGAATATCAACCACCTTCCATTGAGATGCAAGATGATTTAAGTCAAGAGTTAGAATCAATTCCAGCCTTCTCGGCTTCGGCACCACAGGAGCAAGAAACAGCTGTTTCTGAAAAAAGCTTTGAAAACAAAGATGAGATAGACGCTGCGCCGAAGAGCTCACAACCTGTGGCAAGAAAACGGCTATATAAGGCAGTTGATGCTGATGGAAAAGCTGTAGAAAAGACACGAAACCAGCCTACTCGCGTGTCGGTAAAAGATCGTCTCAAGCAATACGAATCTCCAGAGAGAGCTGACGGCGCTCGAAAAACTCCGTCACCTCCCTTGGCAAACATTAATATCTCCTCTCGAAAACAAATATTTGAAAACAATGAAAAAGGAACATCTAGGAGATCTCGAGAACAGAAAACCGTTTCTTCTCTCGAGAGCTACGCTTTTGAAAAAACAGAAACTCACAAACCAAAGGAGCCAACGGCCTTTAAGAGTCGAAAAGTTGATATTCCGTTTGAAAATACAGACTTACAGACCGAAAAACCCCAAGAACAAGACCGTAAGAAAATGCACCTAACATCGACAAACTCATACCCTTTACGAACATCTCCGAAAGAATCCCGACGTTCTCCTCGACTGCAATTTCCCGATGAGTCAACGAAAGAAGACCGAGAACCCCAATTCGTTTAGAAAATAATCTTATAATGTATATGATTGATTTGAATATAATTTCTCAATTTTAAAATTATGATTGACCAAATAAGATTTAAATAAGACATACTTATAAATAATGAACTTTGTATTAATGAAAAAAATCACGAATAATCTCATGAGAAATATCCCAACTGGCCGAGAGGGACTGAGAATAAGACATTTAAGTAATGCTCCTAATAAGAACGATAGCGCTTTCTATTGTTCTGCGGCATATCGCTTGCCCCACATCAGAATTTTGAGATTTTCTACTGGGGATGTATCAACCTATGGAGAGATGTTTGTGAAAAAATATGAACTAAAAGTCGCTTCTTAAGAGGTTTACTTTTGAGTTTGAGGTTTTCAACCAATCACAACACCCAAAAACAATAGAAAGAAAAAGCCTCAAATTTGTCATTTTCCCCACATAGAATTTCTGTCGTATTGAAGTACAGAAGATTTATCACTAAAAGGGAGTTTGTTAGTAGTTAAATATCACAAAAAATATACTTCTCCATTTTTCGTGTTTCGACCAATAAGAAGATTGGTTTAAACAATACTACAATTATCACCTTTCTACATTCCATGCCGTTGAGTGCTATCGTTCTTATATGCATTGTTACTTAAAACACACCCTACGCTATGTTTGGATCATAAAATTGGTATTGTACAAATATTTTAGATAACAAAAAATCAGCATTAGCAAGAAAATCATAAGATAAATATCTTAGCCTTTTATACAGATTTTTTATAAAGAATAATTTTTAAAATTTCGTGTAAAATTTTCAATCGTTTTTAGATTCAAATGTAGGCTGGTCCTGACACTTAATTTGTACTACTCATTTTCAATCCATAAACACCTCACTGTACTCATAGTATATATTAGAAAAATGCTGACAGATTGTATTAAAATAAACTCTTAAATATTTGTTTATAATGGTTGATTTTTTCAGCAAGCAATATTAAGATAATCGATACGACGAACTTTGAGACATAAATACACAACCTTCACCATCTGTTATGTCTATTAATTGTAATGCTCTAAGTGTGGTACCTGCTATTGAAGACTAACATCACCACATCAAACGTTTCTTACCAAAAAAATTTACCGTTTTTTTAATGAAAAATTACAGTGCAAATTGCGGTGAATTTGAAATTTCTTTCTTTAACTTTCGTTAGAATTTGTTAGAGAAAAATTAAGCCTTTTTTTTACCATTGGGTAAAGATATCCCCACCCTACCCTCCCTAAGCATAAACCCCAATTCAAAACGATCATGTAGGTAGTTTGTTATGTAACGCTGAAAAAGGAATTCGAAAAAGCGAATTTCGCTATTAAATTCAAAGGATTCAAAGAAAATATAGAGGTTGTTTTCGAAAGTTAGCAACACGAGTATTTTAGGACTGGTTCATTATATATTGATATATTCATACCTATAAAGCCCCTGTTGAAGGGAGGAGCGGTATGCCGTATGTGAACGTGCCTATTAAGTTGATGCTTCGCGCGCTACAGGTACTCTAGTGCACGACCATCGCCTGAGCTGAACGGTGGAGTAAAATCTATCTATATCACCTCCATTTTAAAGCCATCCATCCAAAATGGATGCAGTAGAGTATAGTATAGGCGTTAATAATCGCTTTGGGCTTTTGGCCGATGATGAAGAACCCGTGGATTCCGTAGTGGACCAAGGAAAGTCTGCGAAAGATAAGGAGAAGCAGAAGAAAGATGTACGGCCTGTCAAGGATGGGAAAGCTCAGCAGAGTAAGAAAGAGAAAGAGGCTGTGAATGAAGAAACGAGGAAGGACGGTAAGTCGTACAATGTTGTTGTTAAATTCATATTTTATTTGTGTGCATATTTGTACATTTTAAAATCATGACGATAAAATGTGAGGGTGTACATATAGACATAGATGACTTCACTCGCTCAGATGTGCTAGAAATACCTTTACACGAAATGCGAGGCATTAATTAAAGGCGTAATTAAGCTTCTCCTGAGCAGTGCAGTCGATTTTCTTTGGGTTTTTCGTGTATAAGTGGTATTTTAGGGGTAATAACTGTGCTTAGAGCGATTAGTATTTGAGTGATAGGACTCGGTTGTGAGACAAGACCACGCGGTTGCATAGGTTGCGAAATTTTTCCCCGGCGTTAAAACACCTAAAACAAAACACACAAATACTCGTCTCTGGTACAATCTGCGCTGTTTTCGTAATATTGCCTCTAAATATTACCTATTTGTCGTTTTTGTACGGTGTTAAGCAGAGGGAAGCTTGATGCGAGCAATAAACACGCGTCCATGTTTGGATTATATGTCATCCTCAGTACAAATAAGTAAAAACGTGGTTAAAAAGTACGAATAAGAGTTGTTAATCCTTTTATTTGGTTCCATGGTAGTTAAAATTTCTCGTAAGATTCCGTCAGTTGTGTTTTAAACAGAGTTCACCAGGCAGAGGTTCAACGCTTTTGTTTTTATTTGCAGCTCGTGACAACAAGAAGGGCGGACGACCAGCCAAAGATGGCGTGAAACGTGAAAACGAGAAAAACACCAAGCTCACTAACGGGCCAAACCGTGAAGACAGGGAAAACATCCCTCCATCAAGAGGTGGTAAAGGGGGATTTAACCGTAGAAAAGAGAATGAAGGAGGTCATCCTGAATCTGACTCACCTGCTAAGGATGATAAAGAACGTACTGGAGGCATGGGATTTGGAGGAAGAGGCAGAGTCTCTGGCAGAGGGGAAAGAGGTGGCGGAAGAGGAAGAGGAGGATTTGACAGAGGACGAGGAAGAAAACGAGAGTTTGAAAGAAGAAGTGGTAGTGATAGAACGTAAGTAATCGAAAACGCGTTGTTAAACCATGTTTACCTCACTGAGCTCTGCTGATGATACATACATAAATGTTTATTAATGAATGCAAATTGTAAGCATGCATGGTTCTCATAACGTAACTGTTTACCAACTGTTTTTAAATAAAAACATATCTAAAGAAACAAACCTTAAACCTAAATCCTTAAAAAACAACATTACTTCTTCAGTTGACTAACTATTCTAAATGAGGCATTAACTTTCACCTGTAAAAATAAATAAGTTCTGTACTAATGATATCGACTAGAAAGAGTCGGTAATGATGGAAGTTATTCTTTTGTTCTGGTTTAGAGGCCCAGAAGAGGGTTCAAGAATAACATCCAGAAGGTGTGGATACTATCTCTTTTAACATCATAGATACCTTGCATCTTATCTGTGACGTAATGTATAATATCCATATACCATTTAACAATGACCCATATAAACTCTAAACACATCAAAATTATTATTCTCTTCATTTTTCAATTTAATTCTCAAATCTAAGGGAGTAAATTCCACATACAGTCAATGTCATTAACATTGTCCACCGAAAAAAGACATTTAGATATTTAGACATTTACACATTTACACATTTAGACTAAAAGAAATATCTCATGTTTCCTCAAAGGTTCCTGCATAAAACAAATGCTGAAATACCATTCTCCATCTTAGATCCTCACTAAATGGTCGGGCATTCTGGATTTTTCGATTCATGAGTTGAATTTTACATTTAAAGTTCGGGCTGACGCACACCAGGCAAAGAATACATAATGAAACACGTGATATTTCTTGTAGTCTAAATGTCTAAAAGTGTAAATGTGTAAATGTCTATTTTCGGTGGACAACGTTAATGACATTGACTGTATATAAACATGCTTATTTTAACATGAAATAATTATTTTGAGCATTAAACCCTTTTTTTTTTGGCTTCATAATGTTACATATTTGTAACTACAACTGTTTCTTTACCAATGATTATTATTCCTCTTGGATACATACAAGTTAATTTTAAATTTAACTTGTTAATTTTGGTTTTAATCAAGTACTTCTAAAATCAAACTTAAAGCTTGACATTCTGTTGTTCCAGGAGTTAATTCACAATCATAAATCGATAATATACTCTAAACACTTAACTTCCTTTGAGTTACACTCTAAAATCTTACGTTAATAAAAACTCATAAAATTTTCATTTAATATTAAAATTCCTAGCATAAAAAATAAAACACACAGTAAGTTAATTTTAATAATAATAAAAAACATTTCTAAACTGATAAAAGATCAAGTTATTATTAGACAAATTGAGCTGACTTATATTTATCCCATGTGTATTCTATTGTGGGTAGATCTCATTATTTCTATCATCCTTTAAATATTTCTGTTTTTATGAAATCTGCTTTACATCAATATTGAATAAAATGTTAAAATTGATGTCAAAATATTTTAGTTCTGTCAAACCCCAGGAAAAGAGAGAAGGTGGTGGATCTTACAACTGGGGTAATGCAACTGATACCCAGTAAGTACACTAATGCTATTGCTTTGATTATTGTGCTTTCATTCATCATATATGTAAGCTTAAATAAATAAGCTGTGCTGACTAAGATCTACCCAGATGTTTTTCAGGGTATCAATATAATATAGAGGTTTTCTAAATATGAAAATTCAACATCATAATAATAAGATGCAACTAACATAACTCTTTGACAAGTATATTAAAAGAAGAAAAGAAAATCTAAAGATAAATCTTTGAATTACTGGAAAAGGCAATTATATCTATCTTGTACTGCTTTTTATGATTTGGGATTCCCTTTGCAATCTTATAATGTATAGAGTATTAAGAAATAACAATTTGATTATTGTGAAAATTGATGAAGATGATAATAGTGATGTGGATGAATTGTGTTTTTAGTGAGGAAGAGGCCTTGGATCAAGAGAAAAGATCAAATAATTGGGCAGAATCTAGTCCTGATGACAACAAAGATAAGGAGTAAGTAATGTCTTGTGCCTACAGTTATTAAGACAGAGTTTTCATGTTTGCATTGTTCATGCATTTTTACTCCAGAAAGGGTAAAAAAGTTAGTGACCCACACTTTTTATTTGCTCGTTTTACTTCGAGTAATGTACTTTCATCATGCAGAATCTCAAAATCTGCGGATGTGGCCTTCTGCACATGTATGAGCATCCTTAAATCAGCAAAATCAGGAAAATTTAGATTATTTTTGGAGTATACTCCTAAAGCCATTCCAATCTGTCTAATATGAAGTAAACTTGTTGAGGGAATTTTAAAACTTTGTTTTATTGTGTTTTGATGTAACAGAGGCCAGGCTGAAGAAGTAGAAGAGACAGAAGGCGAAAAAGATGAAGCCAAGGAAATGACGCTTGAGGAATGGAAGGAGATTCAGGAAAAATTCCGTGCTAAGATCAACTATGAAGTCCGTAAACCTGGTGAAGGTGAAAAGAAAGGACAGTGGAAGAATACTCGTCTCTTGCAAAAAGAAGAGGAGGATGCTCAAACTCAGGTAGTGTAGAAATATTTATACAAACATCACATCCTTTAGCTTTGCATCAATGAAAACCAAATTCTTTTTTTAATTTCAGTTGATGTATGAAGAAAAACTTAAAACCTCTGGAAGAGTCAAGCAGAAAGTCACAGGAATTCACTTTGACTTCACTAGTGGTGACCCCAAGAACCAAGAACCAAGAAGAGGTGGTCGTGGTGGCCGTGGAGGTGGAGGTAGAGGCCGTGGAGGTGGAAGAGGAAGTGGCCGAGGAAGAGGCAGAGGTGGAGGTGGAGGATTTGGTGGTGGCAGCCGTGAAGGAGGAAGTACTGAATTTGAAATTAATCAGGAAGAGTTCCCTACACTGTGATAAAAAGAAAACTTGGTGTTTTTCTAAAAATGACTATATAGTTTGTGGTGCATCCGTTAAAAAGGAGAAAACACCATACCAGGTGTACGCAGGACATTCCACCTCCATTGCATCAGAGATTTCAAACCATCCCATATAAAGCTATATGTGGGTAAGGCATGGATGATTCCAAGATATAAATTAAATGCCTGCTTTCGATTCCCCTTTTATAATCCATAATCTGTTGTCGCATTCTATAGGAATGCCTGGCAATAGAAAAGGATAACCATTGCTTGGTAGCTTGGTTCTTTGTTCTTAAATCAAATTCTACTTATCGATCAATTTATAAAATTGTTGGAATTTACTGGACATTTGTAAGACAGTGTTGCGTATATTGTCCAACACATTTTGGGTCATCTGTACAACTATTCTTTCCAGTTGCAATGCCAAATTGCTAAATTTGTGGTATGGAATGGAAAGGTGTTAAAATACGGTGCGCTAGTCTATTTGATATTAATCTTGTCTTACATGAGAAATGAAAAGAGAGGTAATCAGTGACAAATTAGTTTCCTTGAATTCTTTTTGTGACGTTAAGAGATTGTATGATAAATTAGATGGGATGCATTATTTATCAGACTGTTTAATTTTAATCAAGGAATAAAACATGCTGAAATTAACACCAAAAGATATTAAAAGGTTTACACTGGATAGATGTTGTCTTTGTAGAATAATTGCTCCAAGTAGTTTGGGTATTATGTACATTAGAGTGCAAGCAATTAATCTGTGAAACACTAATTACTAAAGAGTACAAAATAGTGCTAATTAAACAATAGAAGACAATGGAATTTGTATGAAAGTGTGCCATTTAGTATTACTAAAGTTTCACGGTTATATTGTTTGCACTCTATCAAACTCCTAGTAGGAGCTTGGAAATTTAGGTTAGTGTGTGAACAGCATACAAAGGGTCTGTTGATTCCAGTATTATTCGCACACTTGATTCCACTTTAATCTAACCCATGTAGATTTAGTTATAAATTGACTTGAAATAGAGGAGAAAAAAGGTTTACAGAGGTGACCAGATATGATCCAAACACTCGAACTAGAGTGCTCACACTAAATCYGTGAAACAAATACAAATTTTTTAGCACTAAATAGTGATAATTAAACAACAGAAAACAAAGGATTCTGTATGAAATAGTACTAATTAGTACTATTTAATGTTCACGGTTTTAGTGCATGCACTCTACCAACAAATTATGTATGGGCTATTTCTCAAAGATGTCTTAAAAATAACTCATCTTGATTCGGCATAGGGCCTTGGTCAAATGTTTGCACAAAAATAGAGGCTAGCAAACAGTTCAGGTGCATTGCCAACTAAAAGTATGTGGGAATGTCTACATTTTGGGTACCCTGTGGTAGTGCATCGGAGAAAGACTAGTAGCGAAGGCGATTTCTTGGTGATTTTCTGGTTAAACTTTCTTAGAAAAGTAGACTTTTTGAAAAAAAAATCATAATCTTGGTAGCTTTGTCCCAGATAATCAGTATGCAATTATCGGTAGATCAAAGTTCTTCAGCTGATGTGATAGACATGGAGGACATAGCGACAGAGGACCAAGGTAAACTAAAATAAACTCTGGAAAAAACCCTCCTGTTTTAAGATTATGATGAAAAAAATAGCTAACCTTTTTATTATTAAGATTTAGTGAGAGGTGTAATAATAAAGAGTTAAAGATATAGTTATTCTGAGACTGGGTATTATTAGAGAATAAAGCTTCTCTTGGGTGACTGTAAGTAAGAAAAGAAAGACTCCCGCTTTTTTTCATAGATGTCTATGAAGAAGACGAAACGAAGTCTTGTCTGGTTTACACCAAGCACACGGTTTGATAGACCTGCATTTTGTGTTTATTAATAATAACATTCAAACTACCAAAATTCATTTGTCAATTTATCATTTGTACCTTTAATGTTCAGAGAATCGAAATGAAAGATTTCTGCACTGAAGTCAGAGCTCTTCGAGATATAGAAAGATTTCTTGCAAACCCAACCATTCTACTGAATGTATGCGTGACAGCACTAGAAGAAATTATGGATATTATGATGGAGAAGCTGATATCAAAGCTTCGTGGCTGCAGCATTAGTTTAAAAAAAGCCAAAAATGCCTTCTTTTCAAAGGACTCTAGTACGTATTTCAATACCTTTTGCCTATTTTCCCTTTTTCTTTATCAGTTTCTCCCTCGTGTGTATGTGTGCCCTAAAAATGTGTTTTTATGCCAAAACTTAAGATTTTCTAAACAAATCTTAGTTAATTCTTTATCAAAGTTGGTAAATTTGGGCTTTAGACAAAACGTTTTACTATACTATTATAAAGGGGTGTAAATCTTCAAACTTCCTCATGGCCTTGATCATCCAGTCTAAACTGTGACCGACATTTTCGTATTTTATCAGTTCATCGTCTGTCACATGTGATCCAGGGGACTGAGAAATCTGAAGGAAGTGGCTGGGAAGAAACGCAAGGATGGCTTGTAGCTATGTAAGCATTTATTGATTTTTGACAGGGCAATGAGAATACGAGCATAGGTGGCAAAGCCCATATGCAGTACCATGTCTATTGACACTCGCTTCACTCGCATTGTAATTGGATGGTGGGATATTTGCTGCATTCCTATTTGTTCACATCGGAAGGCATTTGAAATCATAATTTTTATCCATTCTCTCTATAGAAATGGATTATTTTTTATTTATTTATTCTTAGGGCTGAGGTATCGTCGGTTCATCACAGTAATGTGGCCATCGCTAGATTACGACATGCTACGAATCTTGGAAGGACCCTCCAGGGCACACATTTGGTGGTTCTCGTATTATCACCTAGAAAAACAGTAAGACTTCTTTAAGTCATTACTAATACATTGATAATATCTGATATTTATCAAAATGGTCAGTAATGAGTTTTTGAATTAAATATATCTCTGGTGTTTAGAAAAGGACAAAAAGTTCCCTCGAGACAGGACGAACCTTTGCAACTCTTCTGTCAAACATAGAGTTTAGGCAGCAGCTCTTGGAGGCGGACAACGAGGAGGAATTCTTGGTAAAGCTATCTTTGACCAAGTATTAATATTATATGGATAGAGTAATTTTCCTAATAATGAAGTCAGGGCCTCCCCGGCCCTGACTTTCGTGTTCGTTTTATGGATGAATCTTTCTTTGTTACTCCAGAAAGTTATCCGTGAATACAAAAAGGCAATGGAAGCAGAGCAGCACAAGAAGGACCAAGAACGAACGCGTTCAGGATCCGTACTCAAAGTAACGTCATCCTTTGATCAACAAGGGGACCTGACCAAAGGTTCAAAGAAATACAGTCTTATAGCATTTGGTCGAGGAATAAAAGAAGATTTAAAGAGAAGATGGCCGCACTATACTTCAGACTTCATCGATGGTGAGTTTTTCCACGGCTTTGGGCGTAATGTTTTCCCATTACAAACCTCATGGGAATAAGATTCTTTAGTACCTTTGATATAGTCATGTACCGTCGTACCAATAGATATAGAAATTATCAGGATTTTGTTTCGTATTCCAGGTGTAATAGGACATCGTACCATACAGAAACTAGCAGCTACTGTTATGTTTCTATACTTCGCTTGCCTTCTGCCATCCATTGCCTTCGGGGTTTTGAACAGCAAGAATACCAATGGCAAAATAGGTAACGCATTACCATTTCCTACTTTTGATTTCTATTGAATCCTGAAACGACCTCTGGAGGCACGGCTAAAGTCACAGATCAAACCCTGAAACAACCTCTGGGCTGATCTAAGTCAGGGCATGGCTAACTCACAGATTGAACCCTGAAACAACCTCTGGGCTGATCTAAGTNAACAACCTCTGGGCTGATCTAAGTCAGGGCATGGCTAACTCACAGATTGAACCCTGAAACAACCTCTGGGCTGATCTAAGTCAGGGCATGGCTAACTTACAGACAGGGGACACAAGTGAGGTCTCGTCCATAGGAGTAGGGGGGCAATGTACCATCTTCCCGCCAAAACACACGCGCACGCGTTTCATCTTTAGAGTTTCCCGCCATATTCACGGCTTCAGTTTACCTATTGGGGGGCTGCCCCGCCCCGCCCCCTTTGCTACGCCACTACTCAGAGATTTAATTGAATAAATATAATAAAGGGAGTTCTGCCTCCCAGCCTCCCCCAAAGCCATGAATGCCTTCCCAGATATGTTTTAGGGTATCTGTAGTCAGGTAATGGGATGTTGGGCGTTCATCTTTGTCATGGTTGTTTTTCTAGGTATAGAGAAGGTTATCATATCCCAGTCATGTGGAGGGATAGTGTTCTCTCTGTTTGCTGGTCAACCAATGATTGTACTACTCACTACTGCCCCGCTTGCTTTGTACGTCAAAGGTTTGTAGATAATATTGCATTATGTGCCTAAAGCCTGTCTCTCCGTCCGTCCGTCCGTAGGTCCGTCGGTTCGTCGGTCCGTCTGTCCGTCCGTAGGCAAACATCATGTCTTTTGTGAGTCGGCCTGTCCATGGGGTGTCTGTCTTTCTGTCTGTTTATCTATCTTCTGTCTGTTTTTCTGTCAATGCGATGTATATGCAATTGTGTGTCTGTCTGTCATTGAGGTGTGTCTGACTGTCTATCTATGTGTCTGTCTGTCCACGTGGTCTGTCTGACTGTCTATCCTGTGTGTCTGTTTATATGCTCTTTGTCTTTCTGTCTGTCCATCCTTTAGGTCTGCGTGTGCATTCTCAGCCCACCTTTCCATCTCATTTCATATCACATCCCAAGACTAGCATTCTTATTTGCAGTTATTCACAGCATCTGTGACGACTTCAACCTGGACTTCTTCGCGATGTACACCATGACTGGTCTATGGAATGCTTTCTTTCTCATCATTTATTCACTGTTTGGTGTATCCAACCTAATGAGATGGTCAACAAGGTATTGTTGAAAATTCTATCATATTAGACATTTTTAAAAGCATTTGTACGCTTAAGATCAGTTCCAGTCTCCAGTGGAAGGGGAGAAGAGAGGGGGTGAGCGCACTTGTTTTGATGCGAAATTTCCCGCCAAATCCACAGGAACCCCATCGGTAAAAGGCATAGAGAAAACCAAGGGCTTTCTTGTTATGTCGATATGGAACAGTATTCGTTAACGCTGTCCCATTACACAGTACTGAGCTAGCAGTTTACATCAGCCAATGAGGCTCAATTTGGAGGACATAGCAAAAGGTTTCCAATTCTCAGGAGATTGAAATTCTTTTGTTTTGTCCTCCAAATTAAGTTGCTTTAACGTCATATGCAAGGGGTCTAACGGCTGATTCTGCTAATTGTTGATTGGCTCTTTGTACACTTGTAGGTCGACCAATGAGATATTTTAAAATTAAGTTGCTTTGACGTCACATGCAATGGTTCTATTGGTTGATTCTGCTGATTGTTGATTGGCGCTTTTTACACTTGTAGGTCGACCAATGAGATATTTGCCTTGTTTATCTCTGTGGCGTTCACAGTAGCTGCGCTGAGTAGCATTCACAAAGGTGAGTGCATCAAACATAATATGAACATTGAGTTAATTGGTGGCTACGAGGCGGGTGGACCTGCAGTATGGGTGCTTGGATGACTGAGTGATTGGTTGTTGGTTGAAGCTTGGTCTGTTGCTTGTATGTGTGATCGAGTGGCTTGCTTTAAAGTAGTGAGTGGGTAAAAAACCTGGATTACATGGATGCTTGAGTGACTGAGTGATTTGATTTTTTATTTAAAGGTTGTTGAACGTTTCCTTAGCCGACTGCATTTTCCTTTTTTCCTGTATGGAAATTTTTAATACTGATCGTTATATTTGAATGTTTCTTACCAGAATACAATAAACCCAACTGTGTGGGCCTGCCTTACAGTACTTGTAGCTTGTGTAAGCAGTCAAACACATCAACACACGATTCGTCAACGTGTACCTCGTTTAACAGCGAGCAGTGTTTCTGTTCCCGTGAAGGTGGTGTCCTGTACCTTCTGCTCAGCTTCGGAACCGTGTTGCTTGGTGTCACTCTTTACAACTGCAGAAAAAGGTAAGACACTAAGACGCCTGACGTATTTTATTTTATTTATCAAGAATGGTTGCTATTGACAGCATTGCTTGTTGCGAATTGATTGCTTTTAATGATTGGAGGGGTGAGTGAACGAGAACGAACGAACGAACGGACGGACGGAGGCGACTATTAAGATGTTCTCGGCTGTTCTTCAAGGATCAGTTCATCTCTTAAAACCTTTTTGTTTTTTTCAGCCCTTTCCTGGATGCTGACAAGAGAGAAGCTCTTGCTGACTACGCTCTGCCAGTCTCTGTTGTACTCTTCTCCTTCATTGGATCTTTTGTCTTTAAAGACATTCAAAGTGAGTCAATTCACTTTATTTAAAAAAAGGCCGTGTACTAACTTGCTTTGGGAGAAAGTGGGCGTACCGTACCGTGCCGTGCCTTGACCCGGTAATCAGAGATTGCGTGATTGGTACCATGACTTTCCTGCGTGACTGACTTCATTTCTTTTTTGTTTTCTAGCGCACAAGGTGGATTACAAGAGTACCATTAAAATCAAATTCTCCTCATTCTCTTCTCTTTCTAATGGAGCCGTGCTTGGTTCTTGTGGCCTGGGATTCTGTCTATCATTCCTATTCTTCATGGCACAAAATATCGTCAGTGCTATTGTAAATAATCCCAGTAACCGGTAAGGCTACTATTCTTGGGGTACATTTTACATTTTACGTCGTAGCCGCCATGTTAGTCATTAGCTTCTCTTGTTGACATCAACCGACATGGCGGTTGTTTCATTGTTTATATTTTTATCTCAAGGGATGTCATGTTTTTCACACGCTGGTTTCAGAGGCTCTCTCGATCTAGTGCTTCACGGTCAACCTATGACCTAGAAGCACTGGAACAAGAAATTAAAGCCTTTGCCACATGGGGGAGGGGGAGGGGAGGGGAAGGGGAGTGAAGGGTTCTCATAACATCACTACATTTGCAATGAGAAATGTTGGCATTTGGGTTCGCAGTTTTCACTTTCAACGATAATGAATTTTAAGGTAGATCGTTAATAGCATATTTATTATTATTTGTTTTATTATTATTAACATTATTTGTGGTTACAAGGTTAAAGAAAGGTACAGCATACCATCTAGACCTGTTGGTTATTGGAATCCTCAACGGTGTACTGTCCTTGTTTGGTTTGCCATGGGTACATGCTGCTTTACCTCACTCACCCCTGCACGTCAGGGCGTTGGCTGATGTCGAGGAGAGGGTTGATCAAGGTCACGTTCATGAGCTGTGAGTTTTCTTTCATGAATGACGCTATGGCTTGCTTTCTTTCAGTTACATTCAGTCAGTTGAACATTGAAACGCAATCATGCATGGATTTCGTCCTTCCATTCAATATTCAATTCATTTTTTTTCATCTATCCATCAACCCCATAACCCATCCATGAGTTGTTTCCTTCTTTCTTCCTTTCTTCCTTCCTCCCTCCCTCCTTCTTCTATTCATCCATCCATGCATGCATGCATGCATGCATGCATCCATCCATCCATCCATCCATCCATCCATCCATCTCTACTTATCAGATTCTTGTCCCATTCTTTCATTTCTTAATCCACGCACCCATCCATTCATGTTTTTCATACGCAGGATCGTCAAGGTACGGGAGAATCGTCTATCACTACTGATATCTCACATCATGGTTGGTCTGTCTTTATTCATGTTACCCACACCCCTTAACTACATCCCATCATCTGTTCTCGATGGCCTCTTCCTGTTTGTGGCCATCACACCATTGTTTAACAGCCAGATGTTCGAGAGATTCTTACTACTCGTAACGGAACAGGTATATAGACATTATTCCTCAGGAACCGCCTGGTATGTGGAAGAGGAGAATGGGCCAGGGCCAGATGCCTGAGGGGGATGGGGATCTTGGCTTATGTATATGATAATTATCGGGAAACGGCTCTTATCTACTAGTTGATCCTGCAATAGAAGAAGCTCCAACATCACAGTAGATATTTCTGGTTATAGTCTTCGTAGCCTTCTTCGATTTTTGATGATTGTTGGTTTTTTTCGTCCTTATAGTGTGCCTATCCTCCCAATCACTACATCCGTCGCGTCCCCCAGCGTAAGATCCACTTGTATACCATTATACAATTCCTTCAGCTGTTTGTACTCTGTGCCTTTGGGTTCATTGGTTCTTTATCTTACATAAAGATGATTTTTCCTGTACTTCTTATTCTTCTCTTACCTATCAGGTTTGTAATCATCCTCTTTCTGTAATTCTACTATGTCAGTAATCACGCACCATGATTGGTCAATTTGCGGTCCATAATTTACGGTACGAACCTCGCAATGGGTTAATAAGGGCTATTTATTTTGGACGCTTTTTCGCATTTCAGATCTCGTGTCATTACCTTGAGTATTATCACTTTGTTAGAGGTTTGGAATAGAGAAAGCTGCGATATAACGTATAAGAATACAAAGTCCTCGCTGTACACGTATAATAACAGCGCACTTGTTATTTGAATGCTCTCGCACACTGTCCTCTCGAATATGTTTTTACTGCGATTTAGTATTTATGAGTCGTTGTGATGGCATCGAAGTGCGCGCACGTTCAATCCCCTTTATTGCCTTCGGATGAAAGCTTATTTACATACGAAAGCACGTAGCTTTCAATACGACCACATGCGCTTTCTTTGAACCTGCGGATGTTTATATTCGTTTCTTTTCACCGATTTCATAAAACAACAGCGTGCGCCTCAAGGATTTCTCAATATATCTTTCACGAAGATACTCTCTTGACAGTATTACAGTTTGCATTTATTTATCACACTATATAGAGCTCTATCTTGCATGTCATTAACAACTGTTTGACTATAAACTCACTTCTAGAAAATTCTATTATGTATTTCCGTCAATTTGTTCTTCTAGAGACTAAAAAGGTACTACCGGTGAATAATCCCCTGAACCCGATAAAAAAAAACACGTACGAAAGACCCTGTTAAAATAAGCTGATGTTAATCCGATAAAAGCCATAATGTGATTGATTGGGACGGCAGAACCAGGGAAATTGGGGCGGTAGCTTTAGGCCCCGCATTTTGTCACGATTATTTATTATCTTTATCTATTTATTTAAAGATTTGCCCAAAAGGAGGCAAAGAATGCAATAGGACACTTGGTCCCCTACTTGGTATAAACACCTGAATTAATTAATAATATATTATTTTGTCTTAGTTTGAGTTCCGTAAAAGAAACAGATTCTAGCCCCATACTTTAAGATGTGCTAAAACGGAAGATCCTACCCCCACCCCCTCCCCCAAAACCCCACTTTAAAATTTGCTCCGCCGTCCCTAAATGTATGGTTAATGCTATTAAAGTATTCGTGTTGTTTTACAGACATGGTCTTGTTCCTAAGTTGATTCATCACAAGTACCTAGACGCCATGGATGCAAACCTTTGATATCCTTCAAGACTGTACAAGACTATTGATGATCTTGAAGTGGGATCACGCCTGGCTTAGTCTTGAACGAACTATTTTGATCTTCCTAATTTTACTTCCATTTGTTTTTCCCTTCCTTCCTCTCTTATTGACCAAAAATCTCTTGGTTCCACTTCCTCTTGATCACTGAACCGTTCTTTTTTGTCATTTTTTTTTTCAACATTCTCTTTTTTTTACCTTAATCCAGATGCCTCATTTTCACAGAAACACTTTGCTTTCATTTTTCCTCTGCCACTTTTCCCTCTATTTATTTTTCCAAAGTCGTTTTAATTTCTTTATTCCCATCTCAATACACCTATTTCTTTTTTTCTTGTCATCCATTGATAATTCTAAAGTCCTTCATTCAACTTTCTTCATGTGGATGACACTTAAACCTTTTGAGTGTTCAACATTTTATTTTATTTACAAATTAATTAATAACTAAAAACAAACTGTTATGTACATTTTCTTAGTTTACTTAACAATTACTTGCAGTAAACTAATTATTTCTATTGTTGGGATGCGTGTTACATCATAGCCACCATGTTGGTTGACTATATCGAAGCATACCTCATTATAGCTTCTCTTGTTCGATCAACCAACATGGTGGCCTTCATTGTTATTTATATCTCAAAGGAATTTTAAGTCATCTGTAGCACCCCTAGAACATCTACTTTTTTTGATAGCTTTACAGCTTTACAACAAAACTTCAGAATTATATTAACAACGAAGATTCTTATCTTATCTTAACGGAAATTACCTTGTCAAATTATTTGACATATATTATGGGGATCAAGAAAGGAATTTTTAATAATTATTTTGACATTTTCTCTCTCACTTTGCTGTTTGTGAGCAAAAAGACACTTGATTTGGGTTTTTTTGCCTTTTTCTCAATCACAATGCTGAATTTGGGCAGAAAATCACTCGCCTAGCTTCTCATTCAACTTCAGTCATATCTTACAAACACTGTGCTACAAAGGCTTAGACACACAATGCAACATTGCCTGTGCATAATTGCCTGCAACAGGGAAATCGCACTGTGTCCACAAGTGCAACTGTTGTGCAATGTTGGGATGCCTACGTGGCAGAATTAGAAATGAGTTCTATTTTTGTGATATCACTGGTGATGTTTTGGGTGGACACAGTGTGATTTTCCCAAAGCAGGCGATGTCAATGTAGGCAACATTACAGACAATGTTTAAGGTAAGTTGATGAGGTTGCATTGTGTAGTCAAGCCTTTCCTCTAAGCACTGACAAGCACGGCATGGATTAAATATTATCGTAACATGTAAGCCATACCTGTCACATTTTATATAAAATACTAGGTATAGGTGGTATCCATAGATACTGTTTGAATATAAAAAAACAAAAACGTTTTACCAGACACAACATAATAGTTACCATAGTAACAAGGGTATAAATAAGCTAATTAATGGTTGTCATATATTCTTTTTTCTCTTTTTTCTCTTTTTTCTCACACAATTAATAGTCATTAATTGTACCAAAAACCTGTATTATAAAGTAACTATTTGGGCCATTTTAATATGACCTTTAAATGTCTTAGATATTGATATAGCTAGTATATTTAATAAGTAACATCAGAAATTGTTGATGAAATCCCATGTCAAGCTTTGTTAAAAGAATAATCTCTCAATCAATTTGTTTAAACCATTTGGACCCCTTTTGAGGTGTGATAGTCTAATTATAGCCCAATGGGATATGCTCAACACCTACATGCCGACCAAGTTGAATATACCTCAAAGTACTGCATTTTATAAAACATGATTGGCACTTAACCTGTGGCATTATTGCACCTTGTTTGAATTGGTGTGAGATTTTTAGCATAACATACATGCAGAATCGAGATTATAAAAGATGGTTTCTAAAACATGCAGAATATTCTTCAATATTTACTCATTACAATTCAAAATCACTCGGGTGTTTCATAGGTTGATAAAAGTGCAGCTTCTACGGGTTCCATACAAGAAGGACAAGTAAATGACCTAACAAGCCAGTCGTCGATACATTCTTTATGATATATATGCATACAGGGAAGGAATCTGATTGGATCGCCAACCATGAAGTCTGTCATACATATAACACATCTGAAATTATCAAATCGTATAATTAGTCTCATCAAAATTTTTTTAGGATTATTTTTTAGTGTTTACTCTATCTATCCATATTGTTCAAATAATCCGTTAGTACTTGAAATATTTTAAATAGTTTTATATATCAATAATACTATAAATAAAAATTTTAAAAGTAAAATAACAAAAATATATATTGATATTAGAACTAATTATTTACATAAAGGGCTGTTCACATTCATATCTCAGTAGGAAGGATGCCCTGTTAATAAAATACCTAATGAAAAAGTTCAACATTCAGTTCGTCAGATTTTTCTCCTGGTATGATTACCATATCCTCAAAATACCTGTCATTAATCATAAATGACAATAAGTTTGAACATTTTCACCAGTTTTGGAATGAATTAAAATTCATACGAAACAACAATTGATACTATAAATATTTGCATTGATTACTAGCAAGAGGTAGCCACTATTATATTCATAACAAAGTTGGAATATAGACATAAAAAGGTACAGGAAAAATTTGACGACTGTATTCAAGCAAAATAATAATCATGAAAAGATGTAAGCTTAAAGTGCCTATCACCCTTTTTTTTTTACTTTTTTATATCCAAATATAAGCTATTCTAAGAAACGTGTCGAAAGAATTTTTTGATTCTGACCCTTCTTTCTATTTTTTTCGAGCGGTCAAAAGTGCGAAAATAGGCATTTCTTTGACTCTGGCCGCGTA